TTGATTACTTCTTTATCAGGGAGCGATACAGCAATGATGCTGGAGAGAGATTCCAGCACTCAGTTCTATAATTTTTGTCATCTTCTGGGAGACCATATTCACTAACCAAGCACACAAGACAGGATCATTTCCTACAAAGCATTTTCAAATCTGAGGGGAAAAGGACAATACACTCTTGCACATTTCAGTTCTGGCACACAAGCAAAACTGAAAAGCCACAAGCCCACCTGCAGCTTCTCACCATGATGCCAGCATGCCATGTCCTGGTGAGTTCAAGCCAACTTACTTACAGCTATCTGAGTGTCTAGATCTTTAATTACATCAGAAACTGCTGTGGGACCATTGAATGGAGAGGCCATTTCCCCCAAAAAGCTCCTGCAAGTAAACAGTAAGGGTTAACCTATACAGCCATTCTTCCCCTGATGCAAATGCTTATACAATTCCCCCAGATTTCACATCTCTCTCTCTCTCTGCTGGTTAAAATGGATCTGTGTAGGCAATCTAACATATATATATAATAAATAGGAGGTTGTCATTGCATAGACTTTCCTCAATAGAACATCCTCTCCACCCAGGCCTTACATGGTACAGGTGCATTAATCTGCAATGGCTGGATGTATCACAGTACTGGTGCAAAAGCTCAGTGACCAATACACTTGTTTATAATTAACCATAGTAGTTAGGATTGTTGGCTGTGAAATGGAAAAATCACATCAGTTACAGACTTTTTAGGTGGTAAACCACTATTCTCTCAGCTTTACCTTCCCCAATTTCAAATCTGATATGCTGGCCTTCTTTACAAAACCTCAGAAAAAAATAGTGAAATCTTGTAGATGAAGCGCTTGGACGATGGCATTTGTTTTCTTTAAGTGATTACAAAATGTAAGGGAACACAGGCTAATAAGATGCTGGGGAAAGATAAACTTTATGTCCCAAAGTGAGGATTAGGATACTGAGAGAGGGAAAGTATGGATGCAGTGCTTAAGAAATTAAATTTGCATTGTAAAATGTTTGAGAACCTCATAGGGAAAAAAAAAGAAGGGGGGAGAGAAGAAAGTTATGCTGTTAAATGAAACAAACGAATGAAATTATTCAAAATGCTATAAGCATTACTACTGCTATTACAATACAGTAAAGGAAGAATAACGGAACAGAGCTGGGCAACCTGTGGCCTTCTAGATGTTATTAGACTCCAACTACCATCAGAAAGGCCAGCAGCATTTCAAGGGCAATAGGTTCCCCAGTCCTGATAAAGAATAAGAGCAGGTGTGTTCTCCAGAAAACTGCAAGACAAGAGCATAGCCATGGTGGTGGGGAGGGGGAGAAGTAAGAAATATGTTGCTTTTTTAAGGACACTGCAGATTCTATGGCAGTGGTGGGCAGAAAATACTACTGGTAGTTCTCAAGAGTCATTTGATGTAGATCAGCAAGGATTTCTCTGACACACAGTTACTTAACAATGACAACAAAAATAATTCCTCCTGTAAATCATACTTCTGAAATGAATAATGGAGGGGGAGAGGATCCAGAGAAGATTTTTGTGTGGAGCGACCATGAGCTCATGTCTGTTTTGGTACTAAAAAAAATTTATAAGGCTATATCTTTTGCACTTTGATCTGGTTGCTGGATCTTAGGGTACCAGTGTAAAACAAATTAGATTCCACAAGCCTAAAGTCTGCCCACTCCTTTCTACAGCATTGTTTTCCAATCTTATGTTTGTGCTTTAAAATTCAATTGTAATCAGCCACCTGGGAGCACACACTCCAACAGTCTCTATGTTGTGGAACTTGCATAATTTAAGCTTTTGGCAGAATAAATCCCTACTGATTTATTTTAGTCTATGTTGTTAGGAGTTTTCATTCTTTATGGTTAAACTCTCTTACCCTGGTTTTGGGGTGGGTGGGAAGAAGCAGCATCTTGTTTCCGATGCCACACGAACGTAAACAGGGACAGAAAGTAACTGGGCTGCACCACACTGACACCCCCAAAGCCTCTTCCCCGCCTCCAATCCGGAGGTCTCCTAAACTGCAGCCGTGCCTCACTTTAAGCAGGGCTCCCGCCACTGCCAATTGCCTGCCTCAACTTCCCATCACTCGGGAAGACATTTCTGTTTCTCCGGAGGCTTATTAAAAAGAAAGAAGCATGAAATCTGATGCCACTTGTTCTTTCTCTTCTTGGCTAGTGTCATTTGGTACCAGCCACCATTGCTTTGAGGACATCGATTTGTTGCTGCATCTTATTATATTACCGTGCATAATCTCGCCCTCAGCGCGTGTATATATACTGTAAATATGAATGTGGCGAGCGCTCACGTTTTGCAGGCCACCTTAAAATGTCCTGAGTAAAATCAGACGGACTAAATAAGCGCGTGTGTATGTATGTATGTATGTATGTATGTGTGTGTGTGTGTGTGTATATATATATATATATATATATATATGTGTGTGTGGTGTGTGTGGGTAGGTGTACACACAAACACACACATACATACACGACGAGGAAAGTGTTTTAAAACGCACGATGAATTAAAGTAGACCCTGTCAAGCGTCGGAAGGCCTGTCGTCAGGGGAAAGGAAAATGGGAGGAATCGGGACGCGGATAACGCATTTTGGCCGCTTCGCGCGCCCCGGAGGCAGCCCCTCCCCCGGAGGCCCCTCGGAGTCCAGAGCTCTGCCTTACTTTCAGCGGGGAGCCGCCGCGGCTCGAACCGGGGCTCCCGCTCCGCTCACCGGCGCTTCGGCCGCCTACCCGGCCATCTCCCCCCTGCGAGCCGCTCGACGATTCCGACCGATTGCCGCCTTTCCTCCCTCACTGGGACGCCGCGACACAGCACTTCCGGGGTCACGACCCCACGAGCCTCTCCAGGAAAGACGCTTGGCCCACACAGCGTCAGCCAATTGGCAAGCGCCTCCGTCGTCCCTTTTTAAGGTTGGGCCGCTTGGTCTCGTCTGCACATGCGCCGAAGCTCCTCACGACCCGAGACTCCCTCGCCCCCGCTCTTTCTTGTTTGTGGTGAATTAAGGTCTGTGCGCGCCCGCGCGCCCGCTGTCAAATCATCTCTCTGGTTCAGCACCGTAGTGCGCAGGCGCACTTCGGCTGGGAACCTTACGGAGGGGAAGGGTGGGAAAAAGAAACGCGTTTATATGTAGGTGTTTTAATAGGCGGCCGCGGCACCTTCTTGGTTCCCGATCCGAGAGCGCGTGGCGGTGCTGCGCTTTCTTTCTTGTGATTGGATGGAAGCAGAAGCGCGCGGGCTTTTGCACCAGTGTCAGGTTGGCCGTGGCTAAGGTGAAGTGTGAGTGTCATTCTTGCAAAAGGATCGTCTTGAGCAAGTGTGATGGGGAAACGCAAGTTCGAATCCCAATTCTGCCTAGCCTACTTCACAGGGTTGTCGTGTAGATTTTTTATTTTTAAAGCACAGAAGAAATAACTGTATAAGCAACCCTGTGTGCTTTGAAAAGAGGATGGCAAAGGTGTAATAATAATAATAATATATTATTTATACCCCACCCATCTGGCTGGGCTTCCCCAGCCACTCTGGGCTGCTTCCAACAGAATATTAGAATACAGTAATGCATCAAACATTAAAAGCTTCCCTAAACAGGGCTGCCTTCAGATGTCTTCTAAAAGTCTGGTAGTTCTTCTCTTTGACAGGAAGCCTTTCCACAGAGTGGGTGCCACTACCGAGAAGGCCCTCTGCCTGGTTCCCTGTAACCTCACTACTTGCAATGAGGGAACCGCCAGAAGGCCCTGGCGCTGGACCTGTGTCCGGGTAGAACGATGGGGGTGGAGACGCTCCTTCAGGTATAGTGGACCGAGGCTGTTTAGGGCTTTAAAGGTCAACACCAGCACTTTGAATTGTTCTTGGAAACGTACTGGGAGCCAATGTAGGTCTTTCAATGTAGGTAATAGAGTACAATGAGTCTGGAAAGTAATTGCAGTGGAGCTCAGGGGTTTGCTATGGTTCTTGCGAGGGTCCAGATTTTAGCCTGCCTTAGCAGTGGCATATGTAGGTCCGTATAGTTAAAGCCACGGTTTTCCCAGTAGTGATGTATGGAAGTGAGAGCTGGACCATAAAGAAGGCTGATCGCCGAAGAATTGATGCTTTTGAATTATGGTGCTGGAGAAGACTCTTGAGAGTCCCATGGACTGCAAGAAGATCAAACGCATCCATTCTTAAGGAAATCAGCCCTGAGTGCTCACTGGAAGGACAGATCGTGAAGCTGAGGCTCCAATACTTTGGCCACCTCATGAGAAGAGAAGACTCCCTGGAGAAGACACTGATGCTGGGAAAGATGGAGGGCACAAGGAGAAGGGGGCGACAGAGGACGAGATGGTTGGATAGTGTTTTTGAGGTTACCAGCATGAGTTTGACCAAACTGCGGGAAGTAGTGGAGGACAGAGGTGCCTGGCGTGCTCTGGTCCATGGGGTCACGAAGAGTCGGACACGACTAAACGACTAAACAACAACAGCAGTGGCATCCATGGTAATAGCAGCCTCTCGCCCAGCCGACCGACAACCGTCTGTGCACCCGCAGTATGCATCCCAACTCAGGCAAACCTCCGCTGGCTTGTAGATCTCTCTTTGCAGCTTTGCAAGAATTAACGTCGCGATCCTAGCAGACGCACTTACTTGGGAGTAAGCCCCATTGCCACATAGTTTGCAGCTACTCCCCCGAGCAAACATGCGAGCACCCGCATTGCAAAAGTGCTGCGATTTCCCTTAGCACCGGTAGGGGTAAGATTTTTCACTCCCGGGTTCGGAAAGGTACCCAGAATGCACTGCCATTATTTGCATATGTATTGAAACGTGGGTATCGATAACTTTCTACAGAAATACCGCTGGATATCGAGCGGAAGAGGCGGGTGGGGATCAAAGGGAACCTGAAGCCGCTGTGGCATTATGCCCTTCCCAAATATTACAGCGGTGCAATATTATTCGCTGTGACTTCAAGAGGCGTCTCGGGCAGCTGGGCATGGTGTGAGCCTAAAGTCTTGTTAAAAAGGGCTTCTGCTGTGAGTGGCACATGGGGAGGGGCGGCTGTGGCTTTGCCTCTTTCTGTGCGGAATCGCTATCAAGAGATTTCGGAAGCATAATTTTTGTGCTCGGGGCAGCTGGTAATCGCTTGTTCTGGCTCCCCAACTTAATGCGGTTGAAATGAAAGAAGAGGGAAAATTGGAGGTTACAGTGAGCTTAGGGTTTTTCCAACAGACATACATGTGTGCTGTTTTTTGATAATGAACTGCTTGTTTTAGGTAGAGAAGCAGCCAGTAAATTTTGGCAACTCTATTAAAGACACAGGAGCCTGGTTAAGTGGAGGGTGGGTCCAGTTTGTAACAGTCCCCTCCCATAATTATGTCACTCAATATGTCACTTTCAGGCCAAGGGAGCTGGTGTTTGTCCGCAGGCAGCTTTCTGGGTCAGGTGGCCAGCATGACTAAACCGCTTCTGGCACAACAGAACACCATGACAGAAGCCAGAGCGCATGGAAATGCCATTTACCTTCCCACTGCAGCAGTACCTATTTGTCTACTTGCACTGTTATGCTTTTGAACTGCTAGGTTGGCAGGAGCTGGGACAGAGCAACGGGAGATCACCCCATCGCAGGGATTCGAACCGCCGACCTTTCCATCGGCAAGCCCAAGAAGCTCAGTAGTTTAGACCACAGCGCCACCTGCGTCCCTTGTCAAACACTTGCTATTCCACCACATTGGCTCATGTCTTGGCCCTTGACCAACAGTGATAGTGGAGGGCAGAGCTTCCCAGTCCCTGAAAGGCATGCTCTCCAGTTTGCATCTCAAACTAAGAGGTTTGTCTGCTGTTGCCTTGTGTGGTGAGTCACGAGAGTTACAGGCCCAGTAGTGAGAGTATCTTTTTTGTGGCTGCTCTCTATACTGTGGACTTGTTTTGTGGCCCCCTTGCCAAAAGCCTAGGCCCTTTGGTTCTTAACGAAGAGAATCCTTGTTTCACCATCATTTTTTTGTCAGCGTTATATGCCTGTTTTGGCCCATGGGTACCATGATATCACAGCTCATGTCAATGAGTATTTTGATGTATGAACATCAGAAGAGCTGGCTGGATCAGGCCAGTGGTCAAGTTTCCTGTGCTGACAGTAGCTGACCAAATGCTTGTGGGAACCCTGTTCGCAGGACCCAAGCACAAGAACATTCTCCCCCACCAGAGTTTCCAGCAACAACTATCCTGAATGTCCTGCTGTCTTGAACCCTGGCATACCTTGATGTAAGTCTTGCTGGTGTACACAGTCACAAGGGCCATGTTAGAGAGTAAGGGTAAAGGGACCCCTGACCATTAGGTCCAGTCGTGACTGACTCTGGGGTTGTGGCACTCATCTCGCTTTATTGGCCTAGGGAGCCAGCGTACAGCTTCTGGGTCATGTGGCCAGCATGACTAAGCCGCTTCTGGCGAACCAGAGCAGCGCACTGAAACGCCCTTTACCTTCCCGCCGGAGCGGTACCTATTTATCTACTTGCACTTTGATGTGCTTTCGAACTGCTATGTTGGCAGGAGCAGGGACCGAGCAACGGGAGCTCACCCCGTTGCAGGGATTCAAACTGCCAAACTTCTGATCGGCAAGTTCTAGTCAGTCCTAAAGGTAAAAAAACAACAACAGTCCAGTACCACAAGCAAACAGTAAGGCCAAGTTCCGCAGCTCTGCAGCAGACCCAGAGTCAGAAAAAGCCCCTAAGTCACAGTCCAGTGGCGTTTGTGAAGCAGCCAAGCTGTGGTCCATCCACATCGAAAGCTGATCAGAGTCTCTGCCTTGCTTCCCTTTCTCCTTACCATCTTGATGGACACATCTGGGTTTGCACCACTTGATGAGGCAGATGAGATCCTCACCTGCTCTGAGCCTAATCCAACCGAGTGACCACAGACCTCCCAGAACTAACAAATCCTGTAATCTTCATCTGATCAACTAGTAAATTTGGCCTGTTCTGTTCCCTGTCTCAGTCTCCTGGAGCGCACTATTCCCACTGTTCCCAAAGCCTCAGAGCCTGCTGTGTCTGTGGAGATGGGAGGGGGCACCTCTGATTTCTGGCAATGTGTCCCCCTCCCCTGACTCCCGTGACCTGTCAGCTGCCCCCTCGCTGTCCTCTGATGTCCCGCAAGTACCTCCTAAGCCCCCAACCACCCCTTCCCCATCTTCAGCTTGCCCTGGGGTGTTCCAGTCGTGGCTACACCCGTTTGCCCAGATTCCCCTCCCCTTCCTCGGTGTCCTACCATTTCATGACAACTGCCTCCCAGCCATAGGCGCCGACTCCATGGGGCTTGAGGGGGCTCGAGCCCCCTCAAAAATTTTTTTGGGGGGGCTCAGCCCCCCCAATAATCTCGGGCGCCGGGGGCGGGGGCTCCTGCCTCGCTGCTTCGCAGCACCACCGCCACTGCCAAGGCACTGCCGGGGGGAATTTCCTTCCTCCTGGCGGTTTCAGCCCCCGCGAGAACAGGGGAATCCCGACTGGCCACACCTCCCAGCCAGCCAATCGGCTGGCTGGGGGGGCGTGGCTTGCCCTATTTAGGGCCGGAGCCACTTTATTTGCATATTCATGAGTTTATTTATTATTCATGAGCTTTCCCGGGCCCCCCCAATATTTTTTATAAGTCCGCGTCCCTGCTCCCAGCTCATGGAATTAGTTGCCACTGATAGCTAGCAAACATTTTCTTGATGTATTAATGTTTTTGACCCTCCATGAAGTGGGGAAGGATATATCAGTGAGCAGCAAATGAATAGTTAAAGCAAGTAAAACAAAACATCTGGCGGATTTGTAGCGACTGCTGTTGGGAAGACGAAGAGAGCAAAGGATTTTGATTTGGTTTACAAAATGCCTTCAAGTTTTTAATAAGGGAATGTGATGGAGGATCAGGGAGCTACGGTGGCTCTGTTCTTCCTCCTAGGAACCTCATGTCACAACATGTATATATATTATATATCTGTTATTCACAAAAAAGTAATTGCAACTGCAGAGCAGTGAGAATAAATGTTACCATATGAATGCAATTTCCCAACCCTCTGCCCAAATACATGTCTGGTTCCTTCAAGTCCTAATGAAGATAAGCCAGAGGCATTTGCTAAATTAAAGTAAGAGGGAACCCCAGTCAAGCCCCCTGGAACTGAAAGCTTGCCCAGGCTCCATAGGAGTTGAGCATGGAAAAAACCAAATTAATTTTCCTTTGCTGGTGGGAGGAAGAGTGCTATGTTTTTCCTACAAGAAGGACCACAGTTCAGGGGTGAAGCAAGCCCTTTGCACGTAGAAGGTCCCAGAATGTCAGTCAATTTTTAAAAAAAGGATCAGGTGTCAAGCATTAGGAAAGATCTCTGCTTCAGAGCTGCTGCCGGTCAGTGTAGACAATATTGGGCTAGGTGGACAGAGAGCCTGATTAAGGCTTTCCTACGCCCTTGACCTGGAGATGCTCTGCAAAAATCCACCTCTTTCCTAGCAGCCTGGGCACCAGAAGATCCTTTCTGCGCTGCTCACAAGGGCTCGTGATAGACGTGTGTGAGCGGGGAGTCCGTGAGCTGGAAGCAGCGGCTCTGCGGAGAGGTAGCTGGCTGCGCCGGAGGGCATTCGTCTCTCGGGCTCGGAGTCCGGTCACCATGAGGCTCCGTGTAGATGGTGCCGGTTTGGGCAGGTCCCTCCCGCAAGCCAGCCTCGCCCCCTTTGCCCTCTGGCTTCTCTGCCAGCCGTTGAGCAGGCGAGTCGTATTGCGCCAGGGCATCTGGGCAGACGGGCGAGACCAGGGGTCCTGCCTGGCTTTGGGGAGAGGAGATGACTTTGATGACGCAGACGTTCTTCCTGAACGCGCCTCCTTCCGGCTCCGCAGGAGGAGACTGATCTAAGAAGGGGGTGGCATACTCTGGCTCGGGAGGCAAGGGCTCTGCGTACTCGTGGTGTTTTCCCGGCACATCGTAGTGATTCACCACCAGGGGGAGCGTGTAGCCTTCGTCCAGAGCCGGCTTGAATGTGGACGGGATGGACTGGGTACTGGGGCTGACCTGGACCACATCTGGCTCGGCGTATTCTGTAAAGGGGGAAAACAGAAATCCTGGTGAAATTATGGAGTCAGCCCTCTGAGACACATCACCAAAAATCAGCCTATGTATGTATGTACATACATCCATACAGTGATAGCTTGGTTCTTGAATAGCTTGGCTCCCAAACAAAATGCCACAAACACAGAAGTAAGTGTTCCGGTTTGCGAACGTTTCTTGGAAGCCAAACGTCCGACGTGGCTTCCGCTTGAGTGCAGGAAGCTCCTGCAGCCAATCGGAAGCCACACCTTGGTTTTCGAACATTTTTGGGAGTCAAATGGACTTCCGGAACAGGTTAAGTTTGAGAATCAAGGTACCACAGTATTCATTCATTCATTTATAAATAACTGTATGCCACTCATTTATTTTATATATCAGAATGGATCACCACAATTGCATATAAAAGCCATGCGATAAAAGCCACATTAAAGAAGTTTATTTTTTTATTTAAAAAAATAATGTCACTGTTGTGGAAAGATGTATTTTGAATTGCCTGTATCACCCTGACGGAATAAAATGGTTTTTCAACAGGCATATTTAAAAGTTGAATTGGAAAATGCCTGCTGAACCTCCATTGGTAGAGTATTCCACAATACTCCCACACTAGAAACCTTATTTGTGTTTGACGTAATACCATCTCAGGATGTCTCTTGTCTGCATTCTTGTATTGGTGAACAAAGCCCTATGCGGCTCGGAACCTGAAGGACTGTCTCACCCCTTATAGTCCCAGTCGATCACTGTGCTCTGCAGCTGAGGGCCTCATGAAGCTACCATCTTATCAGGATGTCCCTTGCACCCAATGTAGGAATTGGGCCTTTAGTGTTGCGGCACCAGCCCATTGGAATGCTCTCCCCTCCCTTTGAATATTAGACAGGTCCCACCTCTGTTGTCTTTTCCCAACTGCTGAAGACCTTCCTGTGTTGACAAGCTGCCTAAATGGAGATCTTCATCCTAGTTTGCATCTGTATCATCCCCCCCCCCGAAACATGGATTCTGCCAGGACATATTTTCTTGGTCTTACTCCTGCAAGCACTGCTGACATCCTGCACTCACCCCTGAGAAATGTGCGGCAACAGGCCTTGTTCCAAGTGGCTT